CGTAGTAGTACGTAGTATACGTAGTATACGTAGTAGTAGTAGTAGTAGTAGTAGTAGTACTAGGCTACTACTACTGCTAGCAATAGCACTGAAGTACTACTAGTACTACTAGCAGTTCTACTACTATTACTGCCATTACCACTACCACTACTGCTGCTGCTGCTGCTGCTACTACTACTACTACTACTACTGCTACTGCTACTACTATTACTATTACTACTATTACTACTACTACTACTACTACTACTACTACTACTTTACTACTACTACTACTACTACTACTCCTACCACCACTACTACTACTACTACTACTACTACTACTGCCACCACCACCACCACCACCATCACCACGACGACGACGACGACGACTGCTGCTACTACTACCACTACTACTACTACTACTAGTACTACTACGACTACTGCTACTTCAACTACTGCTGTTACCGCTACCATTTTTTTGACCACTAGCACTAGCACTACGACTATGACCACGACGACGACGACGACTACCACCACCACTACTACTACTACTACTACTACTACCACTACTACTACTACTACGACGACGACGACGACGACTACTACTACTACTACTAAGCAACTACTACTACTGCTGCTACTACTACTACTACTACTATCACTTCTATCACTTCTGTCACTACTACTACTACTACTACTACTACTACTACTAATACGACCACCACCACTACCACTATCACTCCCACTTCCACTATCACTCCCACTTCCACTATCACTCCCACTCCCACTACCACTACCACTCCCACTACCACTACCACTACCACTACCACTACCACTACCACTACCACTACCACTACCACTACCACCACCACTCCAGCACTACTACTGCGACGACGACGACGACTACTACTACTACTACTACTGCTACTGCTGCTACAACAACAACAACAACTACTACTACTACCACCACCTGCTGCTGCTGCTACTACTACTACTACTACTACTACTATTACTGCTGCTGCTGCTGCTACTCCTACTGCTACTGCTGCTGCTGCTACTACTACTACTTCTTCTAACTTTTACTTGCTCCTGCTCGCTATCGCTACCGTTGCTGCAATTGCTACCGCCACAAATGCTGCTGCTACTGCTACTTCAACTCATGCTATTACCACCACACCACTACTGTCGACATGGTTCTTCATTTATGATTATGAGCCTGCTCGCATCTTGACGAGGTATCTGGACATCGAGAACCAAGGTGGCTTGGCACTGCAACAGGGGCGGATACTGTAAACAAGCTGCAGCATCATAGGCATCAGCTGACTTCGTGGCACTGTACCGATCAGCCATTCTGCAACTGCAGTTGATGAGTTGCTTAATTTCATGCCCTTCTCAGGTAACTCTTGCGGTGCTCTGAAGGCACGTGCACGGCAACGGCTTGTTGTTGCCGCCTCGTGCCCAGCTCCTTCAGGTGGCGATAGTCATGGTTAGCGAGGCAAGAGTTTGGGATGGGAAGGTGATGGTGATGGATCTCATACTCTCTTGGAAATTTGCCAGGCGTTCAAAGGCAAGACCCGAGTGAACCGCCAGCGCGAAGTGCAAGCACTCCTGCGTGAGGGCCTCTGTTTCAAGCTGAGCCGAGGCAAGTCTGCTTGAGTCTGCATGAGTCGTCCTGACTGCCTCAGCCAAGGCGAGGATCTTGATACAGGCAGGCTGCACGCGCTGTCACTCATGCTGAAGACACCGGAGGAGTCTCGCAAAATTCTTTGCACACACGCGTCCAAGATCATGGAAACATCATGCTGGTTGCCCGTTCCGCGAGGAGCACAAGAAGTTGATGGCAAATCAGGGCAGCTAGCTCCTTGTCGCATCTTGTCGCATGAGTTTCTGCACCTCAGCATCCGTCCGTGTTGCACATGCCACATGACAGAACGCCTCCTCGATCAGGTGGCTGGTCTCTCGCTTGATGCGATCACTTCCTGAGACCTCCTGCTCACGATGTGGAGATTAGGACTAGGATACCCCAGCAGACTTTGCACCACTCCTCCCTCCTGCGCCAGATGTGACAGCATGTTAGCTAGCCAAGGCGCAGGAACTAGAGCGGCCAGTGCACATGCACAAACCCGAAACTGGAAGCTCCAGACGCTGAAAAGGGTGCAGGGTTCTCCAGAATCTGAAAGTAAGGATCCCCAGCATGCACCGACAGTGGCTGTGCCAGGTTCTGTGGGCAGATGACCTGGAAGACGGCTGGGAAATGTTCTTCACCGAAGAAGGCACTGCCGAGACCGTTGCTGGTACTTGTCCCGACTCTGGCAACTGAGGCCAGCGTTGGTTCTGGCAGGAGTCATCGGGTCGGTACTTTTTCGAGGAAGTGCGCGGCCGAGCTCCGAAGCACAGCGCTGCGGCTCCACTGACTGGAGCAGCGTGATTTGGAAACGAATAGAGAGCAGTGCAAGTGAACTGTGGGTTGTTGTACCCTCAGACCCCAGGCGGATGAGAGCTGAGCTCTGCTGGGCTCAGCTGAGCGCCGACTCCGGTGCCCCTTCGACGGGTCACTCTGCGTCAGAAAGAGCTGTGCTTTGCTGCGCCGTGCTGTGGAGACTGGGGAAAGCCAGCACCATGCAATTTCTCAGACTTTCTGCCTCGCAGCTACGAGCGTTTCCCTTGCGGTAGCTCGTGCTTTGATCACCAGCTTGCTGGTGTCGTTGAAATTTCTCAGAGAGCCCATGGCTGTGGTCACGTTGCGAGAGCTGATCGATCGCCCGATGCCTAGTGCATCGGAGGACTTGCTGGCACTCCAGCACCATCTGCATGTGAGGCTGGGAGGCAGGAGACTCCCACGCTGCGGAATTTATGGAACGCCCCTGGACCCCAGGCCCGGAAGCTTCCAACCGGTGAACTGCGTCTGAGCTTAGTTCGTGCCCAAAGTCTCCAGGGCTCAGTGCAGCGGAAGATGAAGAAGCTGCGGATGCGATGGCAGCATCATTAGTGCCAGACGTCCGCCGGGCACTGAGACGACGTTGCTGGTCCTTTGGTGACAGACATTGCGCGGGTGCTATAATTCTACGTGACAACTGGTATATCCACTGGGAAAAGAACAGAGCGTGTTTCTGCCAGTTTTGCGAGGCATGTGTAAGAGGATGCTTTTCATCGCAGGTCGCGTCTGTCATCTTTGCAGTGGCGGCGATGCACGCATGTGGTCTACCGCATGGGTCCTAGTAGCGTCACTTGTCGTGAGGCTGCGTCTGTGAGTCAGGTCCTTGCCTCCCTGGCTACACCACTCATGCCTCCCGGGACAGCAAGACCCAGGCACCCGCGGCCCTGAATCCAGATGTCTATCGGTGTTGGCCGGATCCTTTAGCAGCTCTGACGGTCGCAGGTCGATGGTGCCCTCGCTGCTCCAGCGCATGCGCATCCAGACGGCTTCGGATGGAACGCCCCTGGCACAGGCAAGATGCTGGAACAGAGTCGATAGACTGGAGGGCCTTCCAGCATGGGTGATGGGGCCTCACGGTGGGTCCTTGAAGTCAGGAGATCGATGAAGCTTGCGCCTCGACACTGCAGAGCTACTCGCTCTTCATCGCTGGTGTCGTCCGCCTTGGCCGCACACGGCCTAGATCATGAGTTCTGTTAAAGACTCCTTCGAAAACGAGTTGTTTGGGGCAGCTCTGAGGCTTGCCAGACTATGCAATGCCCTTCGAATTGGCCATCGTCCTCACCTCATGAGCAGTCGGACAGTGCAAAAGCATCGCGGCGCTTTCGCTGCCGGAACCACTCCCTGAATCCTGACCTCAGAAGGCTTCTGACTGAAGGCGCAAAACCTTTTCAAGTCTGAGAAGCCCTGAGCCCTTTCAAGACTCAGACAGGTGTCAAGCCCGAGGTCCGCGAGCCCTGAAGCTGAAGTCGAAGCCGCGCTGCAGACCCCCAATCCTCTTGAAGAATCTGAGATTAGCGTTCCAATTTACAAGCCATAGTGCTGGCAATCGCGGCCACGATCTCCGATGGAGGCCGCCGGACTTGAGAAGTATTTGGGCAAAGCCTCTTCTTGATGCAGTCCTCCCGGCCTGTCTGATGGACTTTTCTGGCACTCTGGAGGCTGATCCCTGTGCTACTGCGCCTGCTAACAACCAACAAGGAATCCCCAACAGAGTAAAGTCTTAAGTCAAACATGACCCCCGAAACAAGTTTTCACAAACCCGACGCCCGCAAACGCTGAATCTATCCGCCGAAAGGCTAGATCGCGTTTCTTGGCATTTATCGCAGTTTGGGGAGCTGGCCAGTGAAGCCCGATCGATTGCTGTGAAGGGCAGCTGCTGGGAATAGTTCGGGTGGGGCGCAGGCGCCTGATTCATTCGCGGCGGATCAAACCACACATATACGTTACACCCACCCCTAGACTATGAACCCTCCTCCAAACCCTAGTCTTCAAAGCCTTCAAGCCCGAAAAGCCAAAAACGCCCTCGGTACCAAACCCTTCGACACCCAAACCCAAGCCACCAAAGACTCCGCCAAACGCCAAGGCGGCCGCCCACGGTTGTACCGCTTTGGAGGCTGCAGGGGCCCAGGAGCGAGGTACCGTTTCAGAGTTTTTTTTTTTGGACGGGCGGGCCTCGTTTCGGCTAGGGAGCGGAGCTCCAGGTTTTAGGGCTTTGGGTTTCAGTGTTTTTGGTTGAAGCTTTTTTATCCAAGAGGCGAGCCCCGCAAACAGACCCCTTGAACTGACCTTTCTTACGCCGCTTGGTGCTTGCAGGAGCCACCTGTCAAGGAGCTGCTTCGGGCTCTTGCCGAATCGCCTCTCGCCCAGAGATGCCGCGTTATGCTGCGCTCCGATAAGACGTGACAGGGACAGGGTGCCTCGAGCCTTCAGACCGAGGCCCGACATCCCCGGCCAGCGCGAGGTGCCGGCCAGTCCACGCCGCGAGCACAGCCGGGAGTCCTTCTTGCCCTCCCACTGACAGGAGGCCAGAGAAGGAGCTTCGCAGTTCAACGCACGGGACCCATTCGTCTTTGACATCAGAGATGCGGCCTGGCTGGCGCTTGCAGTCGGGCGTTGCCCTTGGGTTTTAGTTTCGGCGGCTTGATGACATCCGATGGTTTTGATAACAGTGGCACGTGTGACGAGCTTCTGCCTGCAATGACGCATAGAGGCCGATCGGAGAACTCTCCCAAGACGTTTTCCTGCTCTTGCACATTCCCTTTCAGACGTGTTCGACAGTTGATCACCAGCAAGGGCCTCCCAGTGTTTTGTGAGCTGGCTACTGCGCACATGTTGGATCAAGAAGTGAAGCGATTTGACTTGTGTGTCTGTGTCTCGACAAAGCTCTATCATGACGTGCCGAGCAGTGTTGCTTCTGCTGTTGGTGCCTCGTGCGGCCATCGCCAATGCGACAGATGACAGAGCGGCGCCTGAGAAGACGGGTCTGAAGACCAAGGCAGCAACAGGATATCCGAACTGGTGCAGCACCGTGCCGTTTGGAAGCTTGCAGTATGTGCCAGATTGCAAAGGCTATGCAGGCTCTGCAGTTGCTCCAGGCGACATCCCGGCGTGTGCGAATTGGTGCCAATGGGTGCCAATCGCATCCATGCAGTACACGCCAGACTGCTACCGCTGCTCTGGGCAGCAAGTCGCGGAAGTTCCGGCAGCACCCGCAGATGGATGCGCCGAGTGGTGCGG